AGTTTGGGGGAGGGGGAGGCTTTCCTTCCCCCTTTTTTTGCAGGTGCAGAGAATTCTGTTTTTTATCACTAGCGAGTGACTCCCAACCAGTGGCTATGATCTTTCTCACACTCACCCAGAAAAGGATTTTCAGTGTTGAACCGATTCTAGATGGAATAGATTCTACTGTTCATGATCCAACAATCACTATGCTACCGCTACCATGATTGGTAGTTATCAGGCTTGTATTAAACTATGTATTTGAGACGCCCACTTCCATATAAGGTCATGATGATTGCACAACAATGATCAATAACACCTAGCAGCATATTAAAGGGGCATTGCTTGTTTTTTAAGTAAACTACCCTAATCAATATTTTGGATAATTTGATAATATTTGTGGAAATAATATTTCACAGCACTGTATTTACTCTATTAGTTGTGTACATGCATGTCAACATTTTTAAAAAAAATTAAAAATAATAAATCATCTTCGAGTAAAATTAAAAAAAGATTCCAGAGTTGTAGCCACGCCTTCTTCCCGTCACAGTTGACTGTTTCTGGCTTTCCGACTTCTCCCGAAATGAAACTGCGCCACCAAACTCCAAACAAAGGGGAAGCCATGCAAGTGCCATGCACTGAATACCGTAAATATTTAGAATATTTAAAAGTCAATAGACATTAAATTGGAACCATGTCTACGTTGTGATGTCACAAGGGGGATACTTGTATGTAAATGAGGGATAAGAATTTTAAAAGTGGAGTTGCAATGATAACCGTATTAGTCTCTTAATGTGCACAAGTAGATGAGACATTACAAGATAATTCAGCACAGACCATGTCACCTGTCACTCGGAAATGACAATAGGTATTACTTCTCTGGTAGTATACACTCTAGTTTAACCTTTCCACCACCAGCTCCCTCTTTTTCTCACAAATTCGTGCCCCTTATAGTCTGTACTTTTCTTCAGACGATTGGTACAAAAATAGGCAAATTATTTGTGTAAAAACTAAAAATTGACTTAAATTTGTCCAAAATTAGGGTTTATTTCCTGAGATATTGAATACAAGAAAAAATACAAAACAACTTTGGGCAAGAAAGTCTGGTGGTGAAAAGGTTGTGGAGTAACCAAATTAGTTTTGAATTACTGTATGTGAATTTGATAATTCAAAATGGCCGTCAGACCAGCACTTCATGCTGTTGGGAAATCACAAAGTCAATGTTTCCATGGAAACAGATACTCACACTCCTTAATTTGCTTTGTCATTTAATGGATGGAATCTATCACTTGACAAAATATCACAATTTGTAGTGCCTTTAAATTTTCCGCATTTAACTGGTTAGCAGCATATTTATTTAAAAGTATATGAATTCCCCAGTTTCTCCTCATTTATGTAATACAAATACCCTTAACAGTCCGACAAATGACATGTTATTTTTAAAATTTACAACAAGCAATTTATCTGACACCTAAATTCACTATGGATACTGCATGACCAGTGTAATATTATTAGATAATTCCCTCATGACCTGAATTCATTATTGACTAAATCACACATTTATGACAAACACAAGGATGAATATTCATGTGATTTAAATCACTTATTTAATTTGATTTTTTTATCACCATATTTATACTGTTTGAGCTAGTTAGGTCTTGAGGACATACCTCAAAAAGAAGGCGGAGGGGGGGGGGGGGACATGTTTTGTCATTATTTATGCATATAACAGCGTTTCCTGTCATTTTTTGAAGGAGTGTGACAAATGAAAACCCACACTTAGCACACATCTTGGTGAAACAGTGGAGTACACAGGAAATGAACCCTACTTAAGTAAACACCCCCCCCCCCAATGATCCCAGTTTTTCTTTAATTTGAAATTACTACTGATGAAAATGGGTAGGACAGGTCACATGTTGACCTGATAAAGATGACAGCCCTTATATGGATGGAGCTTATATGAACAGGACAGGTCACATGTTGACCTGATAAAGATGACAGCCCTTATATGGATGGAGCTAATATGGACAGGACAGGTCACATGTTGGCCTGATAAAGATGACAGCCCTTATATGGATGGAGCTAATATGGACAGGACAGCTCACATGTTGACCTGATAAAAAGGACAGCCCTTATATGGATGGAGCTAATATGGACAGGACAGGTCACATGTTGAACTGAGAGATGACAGCCCTTATATGGATGGAGCTAATATGGACAGAACAGGTCACATGTTGAATTGAGAGATGACAGCCCTTATATGGATGGAGCTAATATGGACAGGACAGGTCACATGTTGACCTGAGTGATGACAGCCCTTATATGGATGGAGCTAATATGGACAGGACAGGTCACATGTTGACCTGAGTGATAACAGCCCTTATATGGATGGAGCTAATATGGACAGGACAGGTCACATGTTGACCTGATAAAGATGACAGCCCTTATATGGATGGAGCTAATATGGACAGAACAGGTCACATGTTGACCTGATAAAGAGAACAGCACTTATATGGATGGAGCTAATATGGACAGAACAGGTCAAACCTTGACCTGAGAGATGGCAGCCCTTATATGGCTGGAGCTATTATGGATAAAACAGGTCACATGTTGACCTGAGAGATGACAGCCTTCATATGGATGGAGCTAATATGGACAGGACAGGTCACATATTGACCTGATAAAGATGACAGCCCTTATATGGATGGAGCTAATATGGACAGGACAGGTCACATGTTGACCTGAGAGATGACAGCCCTTATATGGATGGAGCTAATATGGACAGGACAGGTCACATGTTGACCTGAGAGATGACAGCCCTTATATTGATGGAGCTAATATGGACAGAACAGGTCACATGTTGACCTGATAAAAAGGACAGCCCTTATATGGATGGAGCTAATATGGACAGAACAGGTCACATGTTGACCTGAGAGATGGCAGCCCTTATATGGATGGAGCTAATATGGACAGCACAGGTCACATGTTGACCTGATAAAGAGGACAGCCCTTATATGGATGGAGCTAATATGGACAGGACAGGTCACATGTTGACCTGATAAAGATGACAGCCCTTATATGGATGGAGCTAATATGGACAGGACAGGTCACATGTTGACCTGATAAAGATGACAGCCCTTATATGGATGGAGCTAATATGGGCAGAACAGGTCACATGTTGACCTGATAAAGAGGACAGCACTTATATGGATGGAGCTAATATGGACAGAACAGGTCACATGTTGACCTGATAAAGATGACAGCCCTTATATGAATGGAGCTAATATGGACAGGACAGGTCACATGTTGAACTGAGAGATGACAGCCCTTATATGGATGGAGCTAATATGGACAGGACAGGTCACATGTTGACCTGATAAAGATGACAGCCCTTATATGGATGGAGCTAATATGGACAGGACAGGTCACATGTTGAATTGAGAGATGACAACCAGAGTAAGGGACACGTTTACTACAAGATGAATGTGTTTGTTATTTAATGCTATGATAAGAATGTCATTTCAGTTTTATTATGGAATAAAACAATTTTTTTTTATGGGAGGATTATCAATTATCTACATGACAAATCTAAATTAACAAGTCATTGTCAATGACACGTCCCCGTTCCGTTCATATTTGAGTGACATATACATTCAAAGCAGATCATGACCGAAATGCACCTGCATATGTACAACACATTGTGCTAAATCTGAACAAAATCCATCCATGCATGACTGAGATCCGGTTCTGGAATTGTGAAAATACGTGATTTTGATGCATTTTCGGCCTTAAAATGGCCATCATTTCGCTATTGTTAAGCAGATCATGAAACAAAGGCACATATCTATTTGTGACATGATGTACCATGTGTGTGTGAAGTTTGAACTTGATCAATCCAGACATGTCTTGGATACGGATCCAGAACTGAATTCTTTAACAAAATGGCCGCCAGTCGGCCATTTCAAACTTGATCCGAAAAAAAAAAGACGTGCATCAAGGTCCTATTATGTTTAATGTATGTACCAAATTTGAACAAAATCCATCCATGCATAACTGAGATACCGGGTCCGGAATGGTGAAAATGTGCGATTTCAATGCATTTTCGGCCTTAAAGCGGCCCCATTTGGCTATCGTTAATGAGATCATGAAACAAATGCACATACATATTTGTGACATGATGTACCTTGTGTGTGTGAAGTTTGAACTCGATCAATCCAAGCATGTCTCAGATACGGATCCAGAACTGAATTCTTTAAAACAAAATGGCCGCCAGTCGGCTATTTCGAACCCGATCCAAAAAAAAAAAAGACGTGCATCAAGGTCCTATTATGTTTAATGTATGTACCAAATTTAAACAAAATCTGTCCATGCATAACTGAGATCCGGGTCCGGAATGGTGAAAATGTGCGATTTTGATGCATTTTCGGGCTTAAAATGGCCGCTATTCGGCTATCGTTAATCGGATCATGAAAAAAATGCATGTGCATATGTCCCATATAATGTGTGATGTATGAGTGAAGTTTGAACTTAATCGGTCCATGCATGTTCGAGATACAGGTGATCACGGACGCACGGACGCACGGATGCACGGACGCACGGACGCACGGACGCACACAGGGCAAACCATAAGTCCCCGTTTTCGGACTACGTCCGAACGGGGACTAATTAAGCATTTTTTTGCAGCAAACACATGTCATTTTGAAATACGCCACAAAAAATCCATTATGAGCTTGGGTCAGAGTGCACCAGTTTAATTTATTTGAAAACAGTTGAAACTTAAATTTTTTTTCTAAAGATGGACGATTTTAATTTAATTATATTTAATTATAATTTACCAAGCATTGACAATACACCTAACAGTGAATTACGCTAATAATATATTTTATATTAATACAATGTACAACCATTGCTGAAATGTACATGAAACTAAAAAGGCACTAGAGGAAGCAGACACCAGACAGGAACATTAAGCAAGGCAGTATGCAAGGCAAATAAAAGAACTACCAGGTATGTGTACCTACCATGAGCCACCCAACCGTGTTTACATGAATCGCAGGTTCGGATATGTACCTTGCCAGGGGAAAAACATTCACACGAACAATTTGGCAGTGTGCAGCGGATCGCCTAGTGGAAAAAAAAGAAGAGAATAATTGTAGACAGTATGAAACATCAGGGATTAGGCATTTGCATGTCATGTACTGATTTCTATTTGCCCTAGTAAATAAGCTTGTCATTCAGCCAACCTTTCAGGAGAACACCAAGACAGGCTGTGATAAAAAAAAACACAGTAACTCAGTTGTTTGAAATTTATTCTCTAACAGCATCTACTGTACTAATACATCTATATCAGCTAGGATCAATTTGTTCATCTGCTAAAAAATGGGGGTGTTGTGTGTTCAAAATTGAACGGGTGAATATAGATTTACTGGTGCCACTCAAAGCAGGGGACACTGGGTGAGTGCAGGGGACACTGGGTGGGTGCAGGGGACACTGGGTGGGTGCAGGGGACACTGGGTGGGTGCAGGGGACACTGGGTGGGTGCAGGGGACACTGGGTGGGTGCAGGGGACACTGGGTGAGTGCAGGGGACACTGGGTGAGTGCAGGGGACACTGGGTGAGTGCAGGGGACACTGGGTGAGTGCAGGGGACACTGGGTGAGTGCAGGGGACACTGAGTGAGTGCAGGGGACACTGGGTGAGTGCAGGGGACACTGGGTGAGTGCAAGGGACACTGAGTGAGTGCAGGAGACACTGGGTGAGTGCATGAGACACTGGGTGAGTGCAGGGGACATTGGGTGAGTGCAGGGGACACTGGGTGAGTGCAGGGGACACTGGGTGAGTGCAGGGGACACTGGGTGAGTGCAGGGGACACTGGGTGAGTGCAGGGGACACTGGGTGGGTGCAGGGGACACTTGGTGAGTGCAGGGGACACTTGGTGAGTGCAGGGGACACTGGGTGAGTGCAGGAGACACTGGGTGAGTGCAGGGGACACTGGGTGGGTGCAGGGGACACTGGGTGGGTGCTGGGGACACTGGGTGGGTGCAGGGGACACTGGGTGAAAGCAGGGGACACTGGGTGAAAGCAGGGGATACTGGGTGGGTGCAGGGGACACTGGGTGAACGCAGGGGACACTGGGTGGGTGCAGGGGACACTGGGTGGGTGCAGGGGACACTGGGTGAAAGCAGGGGACACTGGGTGAAAGCAGGGGACACTGGGTGGGTGCAGGGGACACTGGGTGAAAGCAGGGGACACTGGGTGAAAGCAGGGGACACTGGGTGAAAGCAGGGAACACTGGGTGGGTGCAGGGGACATTGGGTGAGCGCACACACACACTGGGTAGGCTGAGTTAGCACACATGTTCATGTGGTTGGGTGTGGCAAGCATAAAACAGTTGAACGCAAGGGTTAATGACAAGTACTAAATGGGTGTGGCTAGTTGAGATGGGTACTGTTGGGTTTGGAGAGTTCAGTGCTAGATTGCAGCATTTGGGTTTGGAGAGTTCACTTCAGTGCTAGACTGCAGCAGCTGCGCTTGCAGAATTCTCTAAGTTGACCTGGATCTGCTGCAAGTAAGCTGCAGGATGGCATGAACGCTCAGAGCAATATGTCTTCAGAACTGCATTCACTAAAAAGTCCCTCTATCCCCGGTCTGGAAACAGCTATTGTCTAAGGTGTGAATTTTCCTCAGTGCTCGGACAGCCCGGGGTATGGCTCTCTGTGAAGCATAGTCTCTTGAGAGCAGAGCATTCTATTGAAATGATTGATTCATTGTTCCTTGCATATTCTAGTTATTACAACCAAAAAAGACACACTGATACATTTATATATAGATTTAGAAGCTCGACACAATTCTTTAGCCGGCAGGTCATTCTACAGTGGCATACTGACATTATTATTCGTGAATATCGCACTTAAATTTGAGGTACTCAGGGATCACAACTTGGAACACTTCTAACAACCTTGATCGGTAGGCCCGTTTTATTCGTCATGTGTTTTAGAAAGATCAATATTTTTTTCATTTATTGGATAACTTAAACCTAGTTGTAGTTGGTGGGTCAGTTCATTGTGCTTGTTTTATTATATTATATACAGTATACGTATCATATTTAGGCATTCACTTTTTTTGTTCAAAATAAGGCCTCTCGCCAATTTATTGCCATTGTCATTATTTTTGTTTTTAAGCATATATTTGGAATGTAGTTTCCAATGCTGGTGACATCATGTCTCTAAGAATAACATCCTGCAGTATCAATTCTTTAGCACTGCCAGGAATTGAGTAGAGAGACTTTTTTTTAATTTATTTACGGACGCCATTTTCTTTTCGATTTACTAAACTTACTCGACGTGTTTTCAGCGGGTTGGCCCCTTTTATAGTAAGAAAACAACATTCAACCATAATATTTGTTTTTCATGTGAATAGATATGTACATTTACTTTTTGGTGATGTGGTTAGTTTTTCTCTCGGATGTTCCTATTTTGATAAATCATGGTGATAAGCTGGCATTCGATCAAAGTCTAAACAGGACTAATAAACATGCCTTAAATTATTTAATTGGCAATCAGGTCATGCTGCTAGATATTTGATTTCAAACTAGTTTAAAACTGAAATTAAGCAAGAAATTTTGAACTTTACAAATTTGTATTTGTGCATAACATTAATATTTCAATTACTAATCAATAGAATAGAATAGAATAGAATAGAATAGAATAGAATAGAATAGAATAGAATAGAATAGAATAGAATAGAATATGTATCACAGAACAAACGATATTACTGTGAGGGCGTTGACGATAATTGTCACATGAACAGTGAAATGATTCATTGCTTCTACTGTGATTCACATTTCATACAACATTTCCAACTATGCCAGCTAGAGTTGACATTACATGTAATAATTATAATGTATTTGATATAAATACCAAGATATTACAGCAAGTATTCACATAGCCTATGACCTCAGAATTACCATCAGTCAACTTTGGCACAAACCAAAGCGACTCATAGTACGCACAGACAGGTAGTGGCACTAATTTTCACTGGGTTTAAATTTCGCTGATTTACCATTTCAGGCATATTCAGTGGGTTTTAAATTCACGGTTTTATCATTTAGATAATGTGTTCTATGCTAAATTTCACATATTCACTGGGTCTTAATTTAATGCATTTTCCAGTCAGCGAAATAAGCAAAATAAAAACCCAGTGAATAATTAATCCTTTTACAGTATATTTTGTATGTCTGAATTTGTCAGGTTCTTTAGAAATTAAAATATTTTAATTGTAGCACAAATCAATTAAAAGCAAAATTGGAAATTAATAAATTCATTGAAGCAAATGATGCATTTTGAAATTAATGCCGGATGGAATTTGTAGCTACTAGTACAATAATTTTAGCACTTAAACTGATGCCAAGTTATAGAAGGAACCATATCCATTGGTGATTTGTGAACTCCTGGAGTACTAGCAATTCAAAGGAATTTTGTTTTCTGATTGGGAATACTGTCAATATTTAATGAATTACAATAGCATTTGGCTGAACTCATGTAGCTCTATTGAATCATATATGTATTGAAAACCAATTGAAGTGAAATGAAACAACCTTACTAAGAAAGACACAGAGAAAAAAAAAATTCACAACACATGTACTACATTTAGGCTCTAAGCCCAAGCGACTTGTTAACAGTTTTTTTTCCATTGTTGATCTGCATTGGTTTCATTTCATCCATGAAAACCCCTGACAAAACAGACACAAAGAATTCAAGTGATAGTATCAGAATTGAGAAACACAGAACAACAATTTGTAATTTCATACGATCAGTGCCTTGGCAACTGACATGACACAATCATACTACAACACCACTCAAGTCATGAACTAAGAAAATTGTCAGGTTCTCACAAGGACTTGAAACGCAATACAACCGAGAAACAGAGAGTGCATTTTCCACTCAATGTGTGTTATTAAACCATTAACAGGCTTTGATTTATACCCAATAAACTAACTTCAAACTAAACAATCTTAACAATAAAGTCCTCCAACAACAAACGGGAGCTACTCAGTTCTTGACAGGACAAATGTGAAAAACTCACCATATCCGACCGCTTGCTTGCCTGGCTTATATTATTTCAGAGTGACATTTCAGTCTCAGCTACGGAGTTCTTTGGAATTCGAAAATCCAGTGGGTGGTCTCATTGTTGAAACCGATACTTGCCAACAATGCACAGGACAAGTTTTATCATTTCAGTTGCCAAGCAAATAGCATACCTCATAGTACTAGAGCTGGTATTGACAAACCAAAGAAACTCACAGTATGTAGAGATGGGTAGAGGCACAAACCGAAGAGACTCATAGTACGCAGAGACAGGGTAGTGGCACAAACCAAAGAGACTCACAGTACGCAGAAACGGGGTAGTGGCACAAACCAAAGAGACTCATAGTACGCAGAGACAGGGCAGTGGCACAAACCGAAGAGACTCATAGTACGCACAGACGGGGTAGTGGCACAAACCAAAGGGACTCACAGTACGCAGACGGGGTAGTGGCACAAACCAAAGAGACTCACAGTGCAGAAACGGGGTAGTGGCACAAACCAAAGAGACTCACAGTACGCAGAAACGGGAGTGGCACAAACCAAAGAGACTCACAGTACGCAGAGACGAGGCAGTGGCACAAACCAAAGAGACTCACAGTACGCAGAGACGAGGCAGTGGCACAAACCAAAGAGATTCATAGTACGCAGAGACAGGGTAGTGGCACAAACCAAAGAGACTCACAGTACGCAGAGACAGGGCAGTGGCACAAACCAAAGAGACTCATAGTACGCAGAGACAGGATAGTGGCACAAACCAAAGAGACTCATAGTACGCACAGACGGGGTAGTGGCACAAACCAAAGAGACTCATAGTATGTAGAGACAGGGCAGTGGCACAAACCAAAGAGACTCATAGTACGCACAGACGGGGTAGTGGCACAAACCAAAGAGACTCACAGTACGCAGAGACAGGGCAGTGGCACAAACCAAAGAGACTCATAGTACGCAGAGACGAGGTAGTGGCACAAACCAAAGAGACTCACAGTGCGCAGAAACGGGGTAGTGGCACAAACCAAAGAGACTCACAGTACGCAGAGAC